TTCAAAGTCAGAAGCGTTAACCACTGAGCTATGTACATCCCGTAAACAATTAATTTATCTTCAAGCTGATATATAAAATGTGTATGCTTTTTTATATATTTAAGCCAAAAATATTATAAAAACAAAAAAATGTCATAATTTTTTCATAAAATAACCCTTTTTTAGAAAAAGTCCATAATCAATGCTAAAAAAATTTATATTATTGAAAAAGTGCAAGTTCTTACCTTTGATTTGATATACTTATTATGTTGTTGTTGTTGTTGTAGCGGCTACAACAACCCCGCCCAGATCGGTTGGTATCTCAGTCGTTGTCGTCAAGTTCCACTAACGGCAACCCTAGGAAGCGTGCAGCTTCTGCGGGGTTTGCCCATAAGGACAAGGTCGTTAGGGATGTCGGGTTTGCCGGGCATGCGAAGAGATGTTTCGAGTCATGTGGGGTCTCTCCGCATGCCGGACATTCATTAGGCACATCCTCATTCAGCCTACTCAGGTAGGAGTTTAACCTGCTGCAGTAGCCGGAGCGAAGTTGTGCAAGTGTGGTGCGCGTCTCCCGAGGCAGATGAAGCTCCGTCTCGTCAATGTCCGGGGGTGGTGTGCCTAGAACGGCATTCACAGGTCTAGAGTCTACATAACTCGAGACTGAGTCCCTGTGAATGCCGTTCAAGGCCTGTCTGTAGGCTGTCGGGTCCAGAGGTTGCTTAATGAACCTCTGGACTTCGTCCGTTAGTTCATATAGATGCCTCCTGACGTGCCTAGGCGAGGGCTCCTCTGCAAGCAGCTGTCTGCACGGGTGGCCACTTCTGTGGGTCCCGATCAGGAACTGCTTGCAGAGCATTATATTGTGCTCCTTTACCGGGAGCATTTGCGCCTCGCCGTGCAGGTGGTGTTCAGGCGTCATCAGGAGGCATCCCGTCGCTGTCCTCAGTGCGGTGTTTTGTGCGGTCTGTAGCTTCGTCCACTGCGTCCTACTAGTCCCAGGCGACCACACTGGCGCTGCGTAGTTCAAAACCGGCCGGCCTATTGCCTTGTATGTTGCCAGCAACGTTTCTTTGTCTTTGCCCCAAGTACTGCCGGCTAGCGACTTGAGGACCTTGTTGCGGCTCTGTACTTTATTGACA